CAAGCTTAAGTGAGTGATAAGTAGTGAAGACCAAATTCAGAAACTAATAGGCTTACTGGAACTGTAGGTATTACAGAGTAAGTGGGCTGGGAGCTACTATTCAAATTAACAGCACATATTGCCACCCCACACCCCAAAATACAACTGAATGTGAAAAGTATGGTCATCATGCCACAAAAGGTACACAGCACTTGGGAGAAACAATGGAAGGAAAGGCATGCCAGAGAGGGTAGAGGGAAGAACAAGAGCAGCCCAAGCATAGTGAATACTGCACCCTCTGTTACTGTGTCCATTAGGGGAGGAGGAACAAACACAGTTAAGATAAGGCCCCAGCACAGTATTTGAATAAGTGAATTAAAATGAACTAAGTCCATGTGTTGGGCTGAATCATGGCCTTCAGTAGTATCCATATCCTAATCACTGGTTCCTGCATGTCACCTCATTTGACAGAACAGTCTTTGCAGATATAATGAGTGAAGGGTCTTGGAATAGAGAAACCCTGAGTTATCCAGATATGATTGGCTGGACCAGCCCCACAGTAACAGTGTGCTTATAGGAAGCAAACAGAGAGGAATTTGTCCACAGAAGAGGAAGGAATGTGGCCACTGAAGCAGAGGCCAGGCTGCTGGCTTCAAAGATGTAGGAAGGGCCAGCATCCGTCCATGAAGGGGAAGGCAGGTCAAAAGTTGGGAAAGGTGAGGGTGTAGATTTTCCTTTGTATCTTCCTGAGGAGGTGTAACCCCTCAGAACCTTGACTTGAGCCCATTGAAGCTGACTTTGGACTTACGACCTCCAGAGCAGTAAGGAAGATAGTAGTAAATGAGATTGTTTTAAACTGCAAGTTTGAGGTATTTTGTTGTAGGAATAGTAGGACACTAACATACCACATAAATTCCAACAGGTGCGTATGCTCTCAGTTTTCTATTTCAAGAAACCATGATGTTCTAGGACAGTCTGCTGCATCTCTAGGTCCAGAACGTGTCACACTGTCCCATCGTCCCTGATGTGATAAGTGCTACCTCTTTGTTTTATTTTGGTATCTAGTTGAGATGAGATATGACCACTACTTTGCACAATGCCATGGAATCCTACTTTAGTTCTCTAGTTCAAGAAAAATTTATTAAGCACCTGGCTTTAATTAGGTTATCTATGATTGGAGGCCTTGGGAATATACAAATTGAAGGATTTGGTCTCTTTCAGAGGTAAGGAAAGTATTTGTAGTGGAAATGATACTAGGATTAAAAAGTGAAAGACCTCCAGACAAGGAGTGCAGGTAAAAGTCTGAGTCTGGAGGAATAGGAGACAGAGTGTTTGTCAGCGGCTGGTGATCTGTCCCAGCCCCTTGACCACTTTGTGTTAGGGGAACCCAGAGGAAGTCTGAGATGACATTACAGAAGAATTTAGTGGAAAAGATGGGGGGATAAATGGGGAAGATAGATAGCAGACATTCACACAAAGAAGTATAAAGACAGCCAGTAAGGAAGGGAACTCCCCCCCCTCCCCGGTGCCATAGATGGAGCCCTGGGAAGTACTGTTGGTACAAGGGGAAGCAGAAGCAGAAACACCCAGGAGCTCTGGACAGGCAAGCTGGGGAAATCTTCTGAAGGAGATCTCACAGGAGTTGGAGAGGAGGTGGCAAGCCCTAGCACAGAGAAAGTGGCGCCCAGTGTCTTGTGCTGCAGGCAAGTCTGGAGCAACCCAGCTTAGAAGGTGCCAATTAGACTTGGCAATAAGATGTCCATGGAGATCTGAAACAGCATTTGTGGGAAGAAACTTAGGGGTTGAGAATTAGGCAGTAGTTTTCTAGAGGGTAAGAAGAGACAGTTACTTGGGGAGTAGGTATCCTGGATAGACAGCAGAGATGAATGAAAGGGTTCTGACGCATTCTCAGGGCTCTCTCCATCTCAAAGACTTCCTGTTCTTTCTCCCATTTACACTCCCATTGGTAAAAAAGAAGGTTGTATTGATCAGCTTTCCTAGCACTAGAACAAAATAGCTGATACACACAATTTAAAGGAGGGTTAGTTTGGCTTATGGTTTCAGGAGATTCAGTCAGTGATTGGCTGGCTCCAAGGCAGGAACAGCATGGTGGAAGGGCATGCAGAGCAATGTTCACTTTATGATACTTGGGAAGCAAAGCACAGGGAAGAGCTCTGGGGAGAGAGAGACTCTCCAAAGTTACATTCCACCCCACTTCAACCCAGCCTTTCTTCTAATAGGTCATTTAGTTGTAATCATCTGTGGATTAATCCACAGTGAACATAGTACTCCTGTGGTCTAGGCCCCTCTCCAGGAGGTTCCTAATCCAGCTAAGTTTAGCCATCTCAAAGCTTTGCTTTCTGTGCTGTAAAGCTCCTCCCTCCTGGTGTGCTGTTCTGAGAATGTAATGTGGAAGCACTGTTACTGTCAAAATGGAGAGCAGCACTGACACCCCAGTGTATTCTCCATATTCCTGTAGTCAGTCTCTTCTCTACTGACAGATGACGGCACCACTGGGTGTTTGTCCCTGACACCAGACAAACATGACACATTGCCCATGTGATGATTTTTAGTTAATCAGGTACCAGAGTTAGTGACTTGGTTCACCATCTCGGGCTCTCACTTTGATTTATTCATTTTCTTCGTAAAACAATTTGAAGCTCTTTTGTTCATGTTACCTGGTTCATAAGATGCCATTTATGGAGCTGATTTGAGTATTTTTGCAAATAACTTCTTGCAGTGTTGTAAGATGGAAACTTTTTGCTTGATGGCCAGGATTGTTTTTATGTGCTTGTGAAGTATTTTTTGTAATGCATTTGGATACTGATAAATGACTCACTGAGGTAAAAATGAAAGAGTATATTTTCTTCAACTAACAAATGCTATACTGGATCAGTGGTAAGTTTAAAGTTGTTGTCCTTAAGGTCTCATGTAATACCATGGGCAGCCCACCTGTCACTAATGCCAATCTAACAAATGATAAAATGATCATGATAGTTGTCTGAAATGGACACAAACTTTAGACTCTGTTTTCATTGAATAGTTTGTAAATGTTTATCAAAATCAGAAATAATTACTCCTACTCAGTTTACCTCTGACCCACACCTTTTTTCTTTTTTAATAGATGTTAATTTCACTGGAGTTATGTCTATAATAGTTATCCTGGCAGTTGTCAGTGTATGCTATACTCAAGGGAAGCATTTCTTATTTTAAAAAAAGATTAGCTTGGTCAATAGTTGACCTTTCAGCCCCTGCAATAGTCTCCCTGATACTCCTGGCCCTGAATGGCTCTAAAGGGAAATAATGTCAGTGTCAATCTCATTTTGTTTCCGAGCAGGAGAAATGTAAATGGCTTGCTGTTCAAGGCCTAGCGATTCCTCATGGTGGCTTTGGCTGACGTGAGGACTTTAGGACTGTGACCAAGTCACTTGTTCTCTGCTTTCTGAGTAAGACTTCATACTCCTCCCAAATTTCTGTGGTTTACCAGTACAAGCATGGCTAGAGGCCTTCATAGAAGCCATGGGATTTCTTCAGGTTCATAAATCTTTCTTATGCTGTGTTTTCTTGTGACTACAATCTAAAGAGTCAGAAGCTAAGGCAGAAGAATTGCAAGTTGGAGCCTAGCCCAAGCAACTTAACAAGATCCTGTCTCAAAAGAAAAAAGAGAAAAGGAGCCAGAGATACAGCTCAGTGTGAAGGCCCTGGGTTCAATTCCCAGCCCCACACAATAAAAACAAAGCAAAATAGGAAACTGAGAGTCAGAAACTTAATCAGGTAAGATTGGCCAAAATCATTAAAGTGTGATATTCAGAAAAGATAGATTATAGTGTTTTGTATGTAGGGTAAGGGAATGGGTTTTGTGAGTTCACCTTGGAAAACTGGCCTTTGGTTGTTTAAGAGATGAATTTGTAGCACCTGAGGCCTGCCCTACCCGCTGCACTACATAAATCACAGGTATGAAGCCGCTAAAAATAGATACATTTTCAAGGGTGCATTAATAAATATATAGGTAATTGCTCCTCCATTTTGTATGGTTAGTCTACAGCTAGAGTATTGTGTTACATTTGAGCTATTTCTGAGGAACAAAGTTTGAAAGTTATAATGAAGTATCTTGGATCACTTTTAGCAACCTCACTTGGAAACTATCTGTAGTCATGGGGGATTTCCCAGAGTACTGAGCTGAGTACCGTGGAAAGGCTCTGACTGGGATGTTCATGTCAGGAATAGAGTTTACTCTGGAATATTCTCCACATCATCACTGCTAAGCCTGGCACATTGCTATTACATATGTGAGTGGGACACTGATGATCACCCCTTAGGCACATGTCCTGGAGGCTCCATCCTTAGTGGGTGAGACCCCCCAGGTCTGTTCCTGCATGGGATTTTGTGATTCTAGAGCCCTCTCAAGGACCAGGGATTACGGTGGGGGGAAAAGGGGGATGACTACATAACACCCAGGCAAGTAAATGACTTGATTTGTAGATGGAATTTGACTTTGGCTGCCTAATAACCCTTTCCATGTTCCCTTCTGCTGCATTTTGCCTTAGACCTGAGGTATTTGTGTAACTCCGTAATAAAGGGTGGCCATATTCCATTCCACTGATGGCTAGGATTACTCTGGCTACTCTGAGTGGTTCCCTGAGAAACTTCTAGTGCCTTCATTCAGTCCAAGGGGAGACCCTGGGGGACAGGGAGCTGACTCATTGCTGATTCTATGAGGAATTGTGTCTCTCTATGGACAGTATCTAAAAGGCGTGACACACTCTTCCCCAATGGCAACTATCCATAGAGCAGCAGGGTCACAGCTTTGGGACAAAGAGTCTTCTGCTGCTGTGAACTAGCAAGAGGCAGAGAAGGAAGAAAGAGAAAATGAAGTGAAGATGAGAGAATACAGTCTGAACTGGAAACCAGAAAATTCTGTTAAACTTACTTTGGGATCATGGTATATAAGCTGCACAAAGAGATGCCCATCCTGTTCTTTGGTACTTTCTTTCTCATACCTCTGCTGTCTTGTATTCTAGAACACCAAAACTACTTTGGAATAGATGAAAACCTTGGCCCCGTGGCAGTCAGCATCCGCAGAGAGAAGGTGGAAGACGCCAAGGAGAAAGAAGGGTCCCAGTTCAACTATAGGGTGGCTTTCAGGACCAGCGAGGTAAAGCTGCTGTCTATTCTAATTGTCCAGGACAAAAGTCAGGGCCATGATGGCAGTACTGCTTTGGTGTGTGTTTGACAGGGCATTGAATTTACTTCCAAATGCTGGTAACATTTAAGGTAATTGGAAAGGAAGTTACAGGACTTTATTCCAAGTGAAAAATTTAGAATGTCATGAATGTGCCAGCATATGTGCTAGAAAGGGCTATGTGTTAAAGAAGGTTTAGGAGATGAGACACCAAGGACACAAAGTGAACACGGCTCATACCTGCTTTGAGAATGATAAAAATCTAATGCAGAAAATCTGCTACTTGCAGAGGGATGAGTATTTAATGAGCGTTTTTTGTCAGTCTAGTGTAGCAGTACAGCCTGACCACACCACCAGATTGTGTGGAGGACCTAGTTTAGCTCCTGGCCTGTATCCATTTCCTGAAAATCAGTATTATTACACTAGGGTGTAGTGTGGGGAACTAAGTGGGCAGTGATGCTGGCTTCTATAAAGAATTAGATCTGCTCTGCAGTGTAGGTTTTATTCCCATGACCCACTGTAATTAGAGGGATATGCTATATGTTTGGCAAATATTCCAGGATGTGTGGATACTGCTTTAATAACCCCAGCTATTTGGGAAGCTGAGGCAGGAAAATCACAAGATCTAGGCCAGGAGAAAAGGCTGAATTTGTGTCTCAGTAGTGGAACCTTTGCTTGGCGGGCATAAGGTCTTTGGTTAAATTCCCCAGAACCAAGGAAAAAAGTTCTAGAGTGTGTGTTTTAGTTTATTCTTGGCAGATCAGGCATGGAAAAAGGAGTCTTTTTAGGTGTGTGCGTGCGCACATGTAATCCTGTGCCTCTTACCTGGTGTATGTGGATTCCAGTGACCCCGACTTTGCACTGGATATGCCCAGCTGTTTCTCAAAGCAGTATGGTTCAAATGTGAGACTTGTACCATACAGATCAATAGTCCTGAGCCACAGATGACTGTTCCATTTAGAATAATTGAGTAAAATGAGAAATATATTTTTTCATCACAGGTCACTTTCCACATACTCAATAGCCAGTGAGACTTGAGCAAGCCCAGAGCATTCTCATCAAGCAGGCAGTCTGTTGGCCTGTGTTAGGAACATTCTACAAATGTTGGGTGGCCTTGTGATGATAATCCCCAGAAGTAGGGAGGTAAGATCAGAATGGGGTCTTGGCCTGCAGGGCAAGGCTTTCTTGGCATCTTAGTTTTGAGACACTGCTCAAAATGACAACCCCACACCACCACTGTATAGGTGAGGTTATGTCACAAATCACAGGACACAATCCTATGGTTTTTTCAGTGCTGAATGTTTGGCATGGATGCTACTAACTGTCTACCATCAACTTCAGGGAGCATAGAAATTAAATGGAGGGTAAGAGAGTAAGAGAAAAGAGCAGAGGTAGAGAAATGGGGAGGCAGGAGAAAGCAGGGTGAAGAAGAGAGATAGTAGCAGGGCCAGGGTCATAGTGCCGTCTCTCCTTGGAGTTGCTTTCCCATAGAGACAGAAGTGTAAGTCTTGGTTTTCATGGCCTCGTTCTGCTTCACTTCTCCTTTTTATGTACACAGCTGATTATTTGAACCTCTGTGACCTCTTGATCCCTTTATATCATTTCTGTTTAAAAAGGGAAAATACTGATTTTGCACCTTCAAATGTAGCACCGTAGTCCCTTTTGCCCCACTCAGAAGAGCCTTGCTTCTCTTCATTTTGAAGGCAATAACCAGGACCTAATACTAATTGCTATCATATGTTTTGTAGGCTCCATATAGGTGGCTGGGACTAAGAACTGACTGCAGTCTTATGTTTCTTGCAGCTTACAACCCTGAGAGGAGCCATCTTGGAGGATGCTGTGCCCTCCACTGCCCGACATGGCACCACCCGTGGACTGCCCCTCAAAGAAGTTCTGGAATATGTCATTCCAGAGCTAAGTATCCAGTGCCTGCGGCAGGCTTCCAGCTCCCCCAAGGTCCCAGAGCAGCTGCTCAAGCTTGATGAGCAAGGGGTGTGTACAACCTAAAGGCAGGGATGTGTGTGTGTGTGTGTGTGTGTGTGTGTGTGTGGTGTGAGTGTGTAAGAACATGGATCTGTGTTTCTAAAAGTTTGAAAATTCCTTCCTATCCTGCTTTTAAGGCTATTTATTTTGAATGCCTTGAGGTATTTTCTTCCTAATTTTTCCCCAATACAGCGGCATCTTGGTCATGCAAACAAAGCATCTGGCAAAATTTTATTTTTGTTTGTGAATTCTGCATTGGGTGATGAACATGACTGCAGCAGTCTTTGCCACACAAACAGGAGCATGGCTGTTCTTTCTAGAATTGTGAATCGAATGAAATTCGTGGATTGAAGTACCACTATATGCCTTTATTCTAGTGTGGGAACATGATGCTTTTGTAGTGTACTATACCTCCTGCTGAGTTGTGACTTATGTTATTTTTCACTTGATTTCTATGTCCCAAGTAGCAAGAGGACATCCGCTCACTTGATTAATAGCATTCCATAGTGCTTTTACCCAGGGTTTAAAAACCTCACATTTGGTTCTTATACTTATGGATTGCAAATATAAGGCTACCCTGGGCAATTTAGTGAGACCTTGTCTCAAAATTAAAACAAAACAAAAACATAAAACTGGGCTGGTAATGTAGCTCAATGTAGAGGCCCTGAGTTCAATTCCTAGTACTGGAAACAGAAGAGGGAAGGTGAGAGGGAGGAATTACACAGATTTTTAGCATCAGTTTTTAAAAGACCTTGACAAATCATTATTCACCACATCATGGCAAGTTTATCATAGGTAGTGCTGTATTAATTCATTTAGAGGATGATAAATTTTCCTGGGGGCATAAGCCAGTGCCACATCACTGTTCTATGGCTTTGTAAGCTAGAAAAAGTATTAGATATTTCACATACATAATTGTGAACACTGTAAGCTGTTGCTTTCTCAGGGCCTGATCCCATCCTGGGCTAATATAGTGAGCCAGTGGATGTGTCTTCTTTTCTCAGGACATGCCTGAGGATGGGTGAGACTACAGTACTGTGTCTACTCTTGCCCTGGAGTTCAATGTTGCTTCCAAGAGAAGAAGTGTACTGTGACTGTGAAGCTGAACTTGATGCTTTTGTTACATAGTTTATGTAATTTCACCTCTCAGCTTCTACAATCCCACTTTTTTTTTTTACTCTTTAAGAAGAGTATCCTACTTTACATATTACGTAATCAACTAGATAAATTCATGAAATTATATAGGTTGTTATTTAAAAACTATTATTTAGTTTTATTGTGACAGCACCTGCAGAGACTCTAGGACACTGCTGGAAAAACAGTTGATTTCCTATGGGCCAGTGTACCTCCTTCTCTTGGCTGTGTACACAGATATGCTCCTGATGCTGGCTCCTGGTCTTTTCTGGGACTGTATGTCCAGATCCAGGAGAATGAGTCAAAACACTCTCAATTTGTTTGCAGGACCATTCTGAAGCTGTTTTTTGACATCTTCATTTCAATTTAAGTTTTCTTGTCAATAATCACAAAGCGTGATGCAGTAGCCAGCATTCCTGGAAGGAGAGGGGTGCTGAAGTGATGGGGGGGGGGCTCTGATGGGCAAGTGCTTTGATTTGCAGGCATGCTCATGACCAGCACCACCCCAGGCTCACCCCAGGACTCTGGACTGGCTACAAGTCACACCTTATGATTAGATACGATCAGCCTGAGGTTCCCACTTTTGGGATCAATAAGAGTTTCCACATTGTTAGAAGTTCAGGGGTTCTCCACTGTCTGAGAATTGGGATCTCAGCTTGTGGAAAGCTGAAGTCTGCTTTATGATGTTATGCAGACAAGTATGCTGCTGGCTTTCAGGTGAATGCAGGAGGAGGGAATCATATGTACTTGGATCACTTTTAAAAGTGACTCAAGTGTCAGAGGGCCCTTCTTGAATATCACCATGTTTTTATTTTAATGGAATCACAAGCCTTCTAGTAAATAATCCATGATTCTTTATTTTGAATCTTTATCCCAAGTTTCATTCTATGGGCTGCTCACCTGGCTGGTCATCAGAGGTGTGACAGTTTGGGCCTCTGACTGGGACCTGAACCATGCCCTCCTGTGTATGTAGCCAGTACCTCAATGTACAAGGCCCAACAGCTGCTGTCACACACCTATGGGCATTGGCATCCCTTTTATTATTTATTCCACTGAGCTTGATAGTCCATATCTTTTGGCTGGAAACACAAAGCCTGTTTGCAATTACGACACAGGTGAGGCTAGTGCCTTGCTGGGATGACCACATAGCACTGAGAAGGAAGCACCCATAAGATTCAGTTTTCCAAGTATCTGACATCTGCCACAAGCAAAGATGTCCAGTCCAGCAGACCTGGGGAATCAGAAAGAGTGTGCCCAGTAGGAGGCATCTGTCAGGATCTCCTTTGCCCGGCTCAGCCTAGACTGCTCTACTCTTTTCCTTCTTCCCCAGAGATGCCAAGGCAAACCTCACTAACTGCCCACACGGGCAGGGGGCACTGGATGAGGTCTTAAGTTGTTTCTGTGCATCATCCTATAGCCCACAAACAAGGTCAGGACTACCACTTTCCCTCCTTGTGTGACAGGAGCCTATGCTTTCCAGGCACCATGGTGCCCATCAGCATGGATGGCACATTGAGCAGGGAATGTTTCCTTTTATGTTTCCCCAGGATACTCAGGCAAAGGGACATTTTCTATGGCCCACAAAGGTCACCCAGGACATGACACACCTTTTTTTGTAGTGATTGCTGTCATTAGTTATTTATACTACTTTGCTTCTCAATGGAAATGATTATCATTTTGCCTTACTTTGCTGCCATAGGCAGCTATGAATTTTGATTAAAAGCTCTATTTTCCATTTATATCATAAAGGAATAATGTTATGAGTTGATTTCTTTAGGGAATCCTTGGTGTCTGATAATCTTCAGTTCTGTAGTTCAAATTACTGGTGGTAAGATGAAGAGCTCTGATTACATGAAGGAGAAGCACTTCTTTGGGCATGATTAGAAAGCTGTAAAAATGGAACCTGTTTCTCTTTGGCCTCCGGAGGATGTCCCACAGCTTCCAGCAGGAGATGGCATTGACTGTTACAAAGGAGTACATTTCTACATTTCTTCCATTTATATTGTAATGGAAAAATGTAAAGGAGTACATTTCTTCCATTTATATTGTAATTCTTTATGATAGGTTGTATCTTTAGCAGATGTTTTCTTTTTAGATAGCAAAAAATGTGAGAAATGACTGTAATTGTACTACTAAAGTTACTTTTATGGGAACAGTATTTTTCTATTTATACTCATATATCACAGTTTCCACTGGGGGTTCTTTCCTTACCAGACCTTAATTTGATTTGTGTTTCCTTATAGCCTTACATATTTCCATGAATGTTGAGATAAATCAAAGAAGAAAAAGGCATTAGAACTAGAAAAGGAAACTTTTAAGGTTCATGGCCTTTACCTCTTCCCAACTTAGAAGATAGTTACATTTACTGTGTGCAGTTAGTTATAAGAGTATAGATTTTCACAGTTATGTTTTTAAATAGATGCCTGAACCAGAGAACCACCCTTTTGGAAACCAGGCAAATCCTACATGGCTATGGACATGCATTTTATTTCTTAGGGTTTATGATACTTCTACAGCTATATTTTTGGGATTCTGGGCTTATTTGTAGCATTTTATACAGTGATGCTTGCTCTTTTTTTTTTGGCTTATGGAAATTGGTCTGAATTATAAGCTTCTATACTTTTTAGTTTTACTGAAAGTTAGCTTCTCTGTAAAGTTTGCCAAGTAATTACATTTTCTCCCATTTTCAGCTAAGCTTTCAGCACAAGATTGGGATTCTTTATTGTAAAGCAGGCCAGAGCACAGAGGAAGAAATGTACAACAATGAAACTGCAGGGCCAGCTTTTGAAGAATTCCTTGATCTTCTGGGCCAGAGAGTACGACTGAAAGGATTCAGTAAATACCGCGCTCAGCTGGACAATAAAAGTAAGCTTCATGCACACAAGTTTGTGTCTCCAAAGGTGGGCATACCATATAAGTCTAAGCACGTGCTCACATGCCCTGCTCATCCTGACCAGGAAACAGCCCATAGCTCATATGAAAATAGGAGTAGATGTCCTCAGCTCAGCAAAGGAAACACATTTCCTAAGAGCTGTGTGCCCATGTCATGAGCTCAAGAAGGCCATGCTTTTTCTTTTTTAATTCTGACAGGGATTTCCCCAGTGTTTCTGGAAAATCTTTTAGTATCTTCCTCTTTTTCTTAGCCTCCCTGTTCTGGTGACCCTTTTTTCAGTACACTCAGGACAAGCCCTATATTCATTCCTACTCTTGCATGCATATTACTGGACTCATTTTGTTCATTTCTAAATTCACAATGATAACTAAGGGCTGGAATGGTGAATTGGAAGCTGACACATCCTTGTCACCACTGAGTCAGTTCCCTTGAGTGAGACATACACTAAATCTGCGATGTCAGATTGATAGACCAATTCAAAACAGAGGCATCTCTGGGCCATCCTTTCCTGAGATATGCAAATTTCAACAGTATCTCCATTCATATAATTGTATTCTTCTTCTTTATCATCCTCATAAATTCTGTATCCCCTTGTGCTATTATTTAGTTGCTGTAAACACCTAAAACACCAAGCAACATAATTTTGAGAATTTGGGGTAATTCTGCTGCTTATCAAGCATTTAACTCTTGTTCTTTCAATGAAAAGAGAGCATCTGAGAGAACTGGTTACCTAATAGGAAGTTTCTGTGTGGGAACAATGGGTGTCGCCCAACCAGGAGTGCAATGGAGTGATCTACTGCCCCACCATCCACTCAGACATGTAAAGACCATAGGGAAAGAACTCATGCACCCAGTATATGAATATTCACATTAGAAAAGATCCATGAGACCCATCCTGGCTTTCTTTTTTTGTTTGTTTTTTGTTTTTCACACTCCCTTTTGCTACAAATAAATCTACCTGCTGGGGTTGCTCTGCTGCCTGGCATACTCTTTCTGAAGAGCGACTGAGGACATGAGCTCTTGCTGCAGAGTATACATCCTCTCTCTTCAGTGCCTTGCACTGCAAAGACATCTTAGGGACTTTGGTCGGTGGGATCTAAAAAGCTGTAGTACAGATGATCCAAGCACTGTCCTTTGTACAGATTGACATCAGCTTCAGGTTGTCATGATTGAGGACATGTCCTTGACACATTCTGTTCAAAGAGAGAGGAATCTAAGAAATCAAATTTGGATAGAGTAACTCTAATAAGCCATAGATCTTTAATTTTAGGGCAAAGATATAAAGAAGTCTTGGCATTTCTTTAAAAAGAGGGGTCTAAAAGTTAAGAATTTTGAAATAGTCAAATAGAAATTATATCTTTCATGAATTTGATATGTGAAAGTCTTCCTTCTGAAATTCAGGATAGTTGGGTTCTAATTCTAATTTTAACTGTGCATATGTGATATGGGTCAAATGTGGTTCTCAGGTACCTCAAAAGAAAGCTTACAGGGTAAGGTTGAAATACAGGTTGGAGTATCTGGGATCACACTGCTAGCTATAAAAAGCACTGCTTCCCTCGTGAGCACAAAGTGAGTAGAATAGGAACAGAGGACTTGGACACTAAGATGCTGTCCTCATCAGCAGAGTGTAGCTTGGACAGAGGCCAAAAAATTATCAGCTGAGCACAGTGTCTCTTTATAAGTAGAAATATTTGCAACAATGCCTAGATATTACCTTATTCATTACCATGTGAATATTTGAGATAAAAACCTTAACCTTCAGAATATTTACTTTTCAGAAAGTCACCTTTTAGTGCTGCTCAGGTAGACAACTTAGGACTACAGGTTGAAAACCACCTCTGACACATACACAGTGTATTTTCCTCATGTGAAAGATGTTTCTGGTCAGCATTTCTCTTCCTGGATCCTGACCACTGTGGTGCAAGATGTAGAGTGGTCCTCAAGCATTTTACCTGTTTTGCATCATCCCTCTGTTTGGTGGCTAGTGAGCCAGGTGCTCGTGGCTGGGCTGTAGGTGTTTGTTGTTCCCTAAAACTGATTCAGTCTCTTACCATATGTATTTCAAGTTCTGAGTCAAGAGAATTAAAATAGAACATTGTTTTTTAAAAAGTCTTATGAAAATAACAGATACATGTTTAATTAATACTCAAAAGGAAGAATCCTTTATGTTGGGACTGATTGGTGTACTGCTTATTAAATGAGTATCTTGTCTGACCATCTTTGAGATTGTTTGTGTGTATCTGTATTTAACTACTTCAGGTGCTGCTGTTACTATGAAATTGCTGGCCAGGAGTGCCTTTGCAGAGCACTTGAGAACTGTATAATATTTCCACCATAGGATGTTCAACACATTAAATTTTACAAAGAAAGACATGCAACAGGATCCAAAAAGAAAACAATAAACATTCATGAAGATTAAGTAAATGTTTTAAAATAAACATTAAAAACTTTAGACTAATAACACCTCAACTTACCCGAAATGACTACTCAGAGATTTCCCCAGAAAACACAGTGGAATAAATTATGGTGAACACTGTTGTTTTTTTGCTGTCTTAAAAAGTGGAAAAGTAAGCCTGCTATAGACCGAGAATTGAGAAGGGCAATCCTGAATTCCTTGTGTGTTTTAAATTTCTGTGTATCTTTTTGCTTCATTTATCCTGTGCAAAGTGGTCTGAAAATTTACTCCATATTTATTACCAAAGTACTTCATTTAGTACCGAAGTACTGGGTTGGTGTGTCTGAGATTCACCAAGAGAGCTTCATGCATGGCACAGGTGGATTTTGAATTTACAAAGAGTCAGTTTTCTTTCAAAAGATGAACAGCTCTGTAGTCAATAAGGCTGAGATGTAGGTGCATATAAGACATGTGTCAGTGCAGAAGATGCAGTGTGAGACCAGTCTGCCCTCTCCTTAATTTTTCAGATGTATCGGCATTGCATTTTTCTGGTGAAAGAGGAAAAAAATTTATGTACTTCAAAAAGACATTTTAAAATAACATTTTTCATCCCTATTTCCATAGTGAACCAGTTCTGTTCCATTTTCCTGTATTCTGAAAGACCACAGGCTGCAAAATGACTGAAAACCAGTTGCAAACACACACAGGTCCTCTCTCCTCTACTTGCTTGTGTGCCAGGGGCAAGAGTGCCTTGGTGGATTTTGAGTCCATACCACAAGGTCAAGAACAGAAGAAAACCAGGAAGAATCCACATGTTCTAACCGACTAGGGAGCAGAGATCCTTGACCACAGCTTGGAAGTGGGTAGAAGCTGAGTCTAGGGAAGGAAGAGAGCCCCTCCAGACTGCAAGGTCACAGTGGGGATGTGTGTGTTTTGCAGCTGACTCACCTTTTATAGAAATAATCTTCTAAGTGTTGCCTAACTTGCTTTTGTAATTTTTATTTTCAGCTGATTCCACAGGAACCCATTCTCTTTACACCACATACAAAGACTATGAGCTCATGTTCCACGTGTCAACTCTGCTTCCCTACATGCCAAACAACAGGCAGCAGGTAGGTCTTCCTGGCCCTGTACTACCCCAGTGACTGTGTGCTTTCTCAAATTGAATTAATAATCTTTCACTGTTTTATCATTTGACTTTCAAGGAAGAATTACTACATTATAAAACCTGGAAGCACTTCTGTGCTTAGCCTCATTGCTTCCTGGGTAATCTTAGGAGAAATCCATGTCAACTGTGCTGATTACAAAAGCCTAACTGCATTGACCTAACCTTACATTTTTGCATGTGGATAAGTGACTTATTTATAGACTATACTATTTACAGTTGTCACTAGGGCCATTCTCAGCTATTCTCCATTTGGTTTTCATTGTTTTAATTAGATTTATTGAGCAAATATGTTGATCTCTATAGAGGAAAAGAAAAAATCACTGTGCCTCATACTTTGAATGCAGCCACTAAGAGTTAAAGACATTTTAAACTTGAATGATGCATAAAACATAAGATGAAAGATAACTTTTTTATTAGTATGTATCAGCAGTACATAATGATTACCTTCATCATGGAAAGCTGGTGCTTGTACATAACATCTCTCTTTTTTTTTTTTTTCCCATTATCTTGAGCTTTCCTTCCACCATCTCTTGGTCTCTTTCATAACTTTTCAGTATAGCTGTAAAATGGGTTAAGCAAGTTATTTTTCAAAAATTGTTAGAAATTATTGTGCTGGAACTAGTTGCAGTGTCACATCTATTCTGTGAGTGCTTTGAGGCTTGTTTGAGGGATAGAAAACTATCTGATTAGGGATAAGGAGGATCTGGGTAGGAAGGTTCCACAGATATCTTGCTCAGAATCTGTGGGCTCCACAGTGTTCAAGCAGCAGACTGAAAGATGAGGGTGGCCTGAGTGCCTGAAGATCACCAACAGGCAGGCTTGCCATGTATGGGGATTGGATTCGGGGCCTGCCTTAACTTGAGGGTTATGATTGTGGTTAGGTGAAAGCAGAGTTAAGACCAGATTTGCTGAGGTCTCCTGATATTGGCCCACTGGCTCCTCATTCGCTCTAAGTATATCAATGCTCCAGGGACAGCAGAGGAGTTGCCTGATAAGAATTTGTCCAATGAATAAAAACTAATTGTTTCCAAGAATTTACTCATTTCTTTTCTTAAAAACTCTTGTGAAATTCTTGTCATCAAAGTAGCATTTTTCCCAAAGGAGAAAGAGGCTGCCTGCCTCCTCTTCTCTGTCACTAGTTGGAAGCACCATATATCCTCTATCTGGAATAAGAGAGAACTTAGACTGATTCCCCAAGCTCTTCTGAAAACAGTGACTTCTGTCTTATGGTGACCACGAGCTGGGTTTTCTTGCTATTTTCTACCTAGTATTTACCTCAATCCCTTGTCCATTATAAGCTTTTTCTTTGTTTTCTAGTAATCATGGTTCTTAACTATCTTCAGAAGACATCTTTAAGTTCTGTATCTGTGTTTTTTTTATGAGTCAAGATCATTTACATATTTGTGTATGTTTAAACTTAAACAATTTTTAGCTTAGTTTAAACTTAACAATTTGTAAAAAATGTATTTGTAATAATGCTGAACAGATTCAGTGGGTATTAAGGAGCTTGATTTAGACCAGACCAGCTGTCCAGTTGTAAATTGTTGAGTAATTAAACTCTAGGACCTGGTTGTCGGAAACAGATGGGTTCTACTCAGGCCAAGAGAATCTGTCAGCATGGTGGCAGAAGTGCAGCCAGCAACTCCTGACCCTGGCCACTGAGTACTGTAACCACAGAGCATCAAGTTCCCTAAGTAGTGCAGTTCAGTGGACTGCAAACTGAACTAGCCCCAGATTTCCGCTTGTGGTAAAGTCTTCAGTGTTCCCAGAACTCGGAACTACCTCCCCTCCCTCTTTCATTGTGTAGTAATTCTGTGTACTTTGGGGTTCTCTATGCCTGACCTTATTTCACTGAAACTATTCTTAAATTCTGCACACAAAAACCTGAAAACCGGAGGGAGTATTTCAGCTTTCCAAATAGAAGATCGTAAAAGATCCCTGCAAGTTGATGTTTGTAAATGATAGGCTCTGCAGCCTAACACCTTGTTTAGTTAACCTGTTTTGTTTCTGAGGGAGAGTCCATAGCAGTTTAAGTTGAGCAGATAGGCTAGAGGTGGAAAATGGTTGTGTTTCTCGTTACAAAGTAGGGATGATCCTGTGTGGGTCCTTGGGAGACTTGTACACTAGACATACTGTGTCAGCAAGTTATCTCAAGAGAGAGAAGCAGGGAGAAGAGCATGAGACTAGTCTGCAGACTCGGTCTACACCTGGTTTAGTTTTCTCACCTGTGGCCTGGCTGAGGCCCTTAGTCTCTGGGGGACTTTGCTAGTTACCTGATGAGGATGTGAGTCAGAGGCCTTCAGAACTGCCAATAGTACTGCACCGGGAAGGGTTCTGGGATGGTGAGCTCAGAAGGAGAGAGCACTGTGCCCAGAGATGCTATCCATAAATCTGCAGTGGGGACTGCTGAGGTTCTTCCTGGAAATGTCATAGTGCATGTTCAGGGCTATCTTTGAGGCAGCACTCTTCTGGATCAAGAAAAGCTTGAGCAGGATGTTGAAGATGTAAGGTAAGCACTGTGGAACCAGACTCTAGATTTGAGACCCAGTTACTAGCTTGGTGGCCTGAAGGAGACTTCACTAAGCTGTCATGTCTTTTTCCTCTGTTCACCAAGTGTCCATGTCTAGAACTGAGCCCAGCATGTGGTGGGCCATGAGACCTCACTTGTTGAATGACTAACAGATAAGTGTGAACTGACCTTTCTCACAGTAGTTCTTCATGAGAATTAGAGAAGTTAATACATGTGAATCACATAGTGTGAGGCACAAAGTGTGTTCAATCCATTTTAGTTGTTTTCTATAATTCACTAGCTGTAGAGCCACCAGTATTTTATATACTTTAATATGCATCTTATTTTCTTGTTCCTATTCCTATATCTCTGTTATGAAAGCTGAGGCTTAAATGGTTCAGATAGTAAGGGGCTAAATTTATGAGTAATTCCAGGGAATTCTTATCTTGAGATTTAATAAATTATTTTACAGATAGTGAGTTGTTACCAGGATGTTATATGTGCTTCTTTATAGTCTTAGACATGTACTTGCCAAATTTATTATGAGTCTGATTCTTTCCTGAGCCCTACCCATGCCCACACATTCATACAAAGGCCCAAATATCCACAGTGATGAGCTAGGATCATGGGTGCAGTTTGCAGCCATAGGACTCAGCACCTGTCACTGGCTCACACACAGGAAGAGGGGCCTCTGCCTTCAGCTTCATTAGCACCATCATGTTTCTGACTACTTAACTGGCCTAGACTTGTCCACATTGGATCTGACTTCTGGTGTTTGTTCTTGTGATGAGATGAGTGCTGATTCCAAGATGCATAAAAATCTTGAGAGCCCTTTGCCCCACTATTGCAAAAGAGTTTAAGCTGTGGAATGCCTCCGCCCCTAGGAAGAAGCCAAACCAACAGAGAGCGCAAAAGGCCTGCTCTGGAAGCATTGCCACTCAGCACAGTCAGGCCCAGACTTGTCTGTGGTGCATCCACCTCTCCCAGGCCATCTCCCCTTGTGCATTTCTTCTTTAAATGGAGCCATTATGGGTTTTTATCCAGGAAAAACTTTACAGGGCAGCTTTGAACTTGACCTTGGCAGAGACACCCTTTCTTCAGACTAGGCATAGAAAAGAACGGAAAGCACCATGTCCCTCACATATAGTAACCTTTTCTTTTTGAGGCATGGGTAAAGCTCAAGATGCTCTGCTTGAAAAGGACACGAAGGACCATGAGGCTCTCAGGAGTGAAACTAGGCACAGGTTCCTGAAAAGCTGCTCCTGTGGACTTGATCCCACAGAGGAAAGGTGCACAGCTTGTTAGGCCTGGGACCCTTTCATCCTGTCAGACCATTTAGAAGCCTTGCCTTGAGGGATTTGTGTACTTCTTTGGGTCCTTGGTTGATACTACTAAGGAACTGTGAGTATGCTATTTGAATTTAAGCAGGTCCTGCCATGTTTGGGTTTATCTGTAAAGAATACTGTGAAATATTTTGCTAAGGTAAAATGTTTATTGCGCTTTCAGTGATGAGCTTTATTCCCAGATTCCACGTAGGAAAGTGTATTTTTACCAGATCATGAGGATTGCTGCATGGATTGGTATGGCTCAGTGTCAAGACAGTAATACTATATTTGCATCTCCATAAGTCTGTCTTTGTCTTCACTTTACAAGTCATTGAAAATCTACCTTCTTAACTTCTTCTGTTTTTGCATTTGTAAAGTACTCAGCATTGGTTAGCCAGTTTGTACATTTCCATGGCACAGTATTAAGACTGTATAAAACGATAAACCAGTGATAATCTTTGAAACATTAGTGAGTTTTATATGATCTTGCTGATTTGAAATAAGAACCATTAACTAACATTCATTCTTTTTGCAGGGAGTCAGTAAACCTTTCCTTTGGTAATTATAGATCTTTTGTGTTTAGGTAGTGATGTGTATAGGCTGCCCCTTCTTTCCCTCATTAAGTGCATTGTGCATTCACTTTTTTGGTAGCAAACTCCAGATTTCTCTTAAAAATCAGGACAGAATTCTAAGTAACCAGTTAATTCTGACTAACACACACACGCACACACACACATACACACACACAATTTCCTCATGTAACCTACACTAAGGAATCTGTTCACACTGGTCTTGGGAGCCCTGAGGTTTGTTTGAGGAACTGAGTCTCAGCCCCAGGGTTTCTATTTCTGTAGTGCATGTGCCTCTGCCACAGATCTGAGTGAAGACTCAGCTTCCTTTTCCTTGTCACAACAAGAGCTCATTCCTGTTTCACAGTTTGAATCGAGTGTTGCAGATTTGCTAGAACTGTCTGTAAATCTATCAAATACAGTTTTATTAACTCATTATTGCAGTTGAAGACACTACATTGATTCTCTTTGCAGCATACAGAAAAAGTGTTACCTGCTTCACATGTTTAGGAGGAAGTGACTCCCAGAAGACACCATTCATTCAGTCTACCAAACAAATAGCACCACATGTCCTGTTGGGTTGTGTCTGTTTGTGGCAAACTTGAGAATTTTGCTAACAAACAGGCCTCATTTTCATTATTTTATTGTCCTTCAAAAAACTTTGGAATTTACTCTTTATATCTCCTTATCACTTTATATTTTTCCCCAAAGTACAGTGTTTTATCTCACCATTGCAAAAGTAACTGTACTTTTTCTTTTTTTACTCATTTTACAAAGCAAAATATGCTAAGAAAGGGCCAAAGTGTTGTGACCTAGAGTGTAGGTCACTGGCCTTAAAATTCTCTTTAGGAAGTGTAAAGCCCATTCTGCAGGAGGAAGGGAAATCAGGCAGGAGCAGCTGTCCAGTTAACTGTGGCAGTAAGTGCACCCCCAGGGCCCTGGATTTTGGGTTCCTTTAACCAGGTGTTAAAGGGGAGGCCAGCAGGGTCCCAGAAAGGAGGACTGTTTATCTTGATGGCTCACAAAGAGCCCCTGCTGGGCCTTTGTCTCCCTGAGCTCCATCTTCCCCTGGTTACTCAGACGAGTCCTATGTCTGGAGAACACTGAATGACTAGCAGCTTGGGCTACATGTGTACATGCTCTATACATACAGTGAATACTATTAGGCATGTTCTTACTGTAACTGTTCATTGGCTCCTGGTTTTCCCTTTTCCTGGTACAGGACATATGAATCATAGGTTTCAGTTACTCTAAAAAGAACGTCTTGTCCAACTACAGTTTTTAGTAATCTTTTTTCATGCATTTCACCAGGTACATTTTAAAGATCTAGCAAGGTGTTTTTTTTTTTTTTTTTTTTTTTTAAGCTGCACCTTTAAATGAGGTAACTCATTGGATCAGTATTGTTATATATTAGTATGTTTCAAAACTTCACTTAAACACTATAGGGACTTTTGTGTGTTCATAACATTAACCATAGGGATTTAAGTAGGTGTTGTCCAGGCTATGAATCATAGATTTCACTGGCCTATGGAAAGCTCAGAAGGAAGGAACATTTCATTCTCACTGTCTGAGGCCTTTTATCATGCAAAATCATGAGTCCAGCTTGACAATGAAATCCTTCTTGTGTTTGGATTTAAAAGGTTTTAAAATGAACTTGATGCTCTTTACAGTGATATATGCTTTGTGGTGCCAAATAAATTTAAAGGCATGGTCATTGTCTTTGTTGTTACTAATAAAGAGAGATTTACTGCCTGAGATAGTTTCCTCCCTGCAGTGACATCATCAGCTCCTGTAAGTGTGACTGTGTCTGTTAAAACTGAAGGTCATTTTTCAGTCTTTCTGTACACGAACCTCTCCCTTCACCTTGGGACCTTACAGAGCCTTTGCCTGTGAATAGCTGTACAGGAGGGAGGTACTCACAATTCTGAGGTACAGTGCCACATGTCAGTAAACAGAAACTAATCTTTCATTTGGCTGCCAAAGTACACTGAGTGCAGCTCTGTGCTGACTGTGCAGTTGGGAACCAGGAAACCCACAAGGGCTAGATGTTGTGCACAGGCCTGTAATCCCAGTACTCAGGAGGTTGAGGCCAGAGGTGTCACTGGTGTTCAAGGCCAGCCTGAACTAAATAGTGAAACCCTGTCTCAAAAAGACAAAAAAAAGAAAGAAAGAACCCAACATCAGTAAGACACAACATCCCTACTCTTGGAGGCTGTGGTCTGATGCCGAAGTAGTAACTTACCTGTCAGAAGAGCGACAAACAGCTAGGATAATAGAAATAGGCCTGGGTATGGTGTGGAGCAGAACATGGTCTTCATGAGGAAGTTTTTTAGCTGAGATGGATCTCTGCCAACACTTGAGTTGTCACCAGTAACTTGAGTGAAGGGCACATGCTTGGCAGAAGTAATATCAAAGATAGAGATTTTTGTAATTGTTGCAGTAATATTCACAATAAGCATGATACAGAATCAACCTAGGTGTCTATCAGCAGATGACTAGATAAAGAAAATGTGGAATAAATACACAACAGAGTATAAGTCTTCCATAAAGGAGAGTGAAATTCTGTCATTTGCAGCAAAATATACGAGCTAGAGTGCACAGGTTAAACCAAACAGAGAAAGACAAATATCACATGCTCCCTTTCAGATATTGACTTCAAAAAGTTGATGTGAAAGCAAAATAGTAATTACTAGATTTTTGGGAAGGATGGGTGGGTGAGCGGTAGAAGAGGGAGATTAGATGTTTTGTTTTATTTATTGTACTAGAAGTTGAACTCAGTGGTTTTGTTTTGCTGACAGTATCTTAACAAATTGCCCCTGCTGGGCTCATCCTTGCAGTCCTGCTTCAGTCTCCCAGAGTTCTGGGATTATAGGTGTATGCCATCACACCCTGTGAGAGGTGGATTTGGTGAATGCATGCAGTATGCATGTATGGAAATACCACTGAACGTCATTAATATATACCAATCAGTACATATTGTTAAAAACATAAAGCTGTTCTTAAGATGTGATTGCTGTGGGGTCCTTTATCTCCTGTCTGACATGCAGCTTATGTGGCTACAAACCATTGAGTTTTCTATTAACCTGATTGAACTCTTATGTTTCTGGATTACATTAGAAGGCTAAGTTTCAGTTAATTAGTTTTGAGCCTCTTGTCCACCCAGATGACTGTCCCTGTTCTTGCTGCAGACATGTGTCCCTATGGGAGCATGGGGCTATCCAACAGACAGGACCTGTGGCAGATCTGAACCCCCCCAACTCTGCTTCTTCCTTTAATTAAAAGCTTCAACTATTAAATTTCTTAAGGTGTTTTATTTTAGGAGTAAAGAAGAAGGAACTCTACAAAGATGAAAAGGAGAAAGAATACACATTAAATTTTAAAGTAAAAGAGATAAACTTGGATTTCAGGGTTTTTTTCCCCCGTGGTCTTCTGGATACAGCCCATTTTGCCTTTTTAAAGAATTTTCACTCACATTGAACAGCACCAGCTCCTGGAGAGTATCTCTGCTTTCCTAGATCCCTCTCACATATGGGATAGGTGGGTTGCATATGTTCCATGTGTTTTGTGTGGGAGACAATTGTCACTGGTTTGTGCTTACCTCCCAACACAGCTCCTGAGGAAGAGGCACATTGGAAATGATATCGTCACTGTAGTCTTCCAAGAGCCTGGAGCGCTCCCCTTCACCCCGAGGAGCATCCGTTCACACTTCCAACATGTCTTTGTCATCGTGCGGGTACACAACCCTTGCACAGAGAATGTCTGCTACAGGTGAGTCCTGCCTACTGACCTACTCTTACTTAACCACTCCACCAGGAGGTCCTTGTCTTCTAGATAGCCCTTCTTACCTATAATGTTCTAATTACTCCCCCCCCCCCGCCTAATCACTCAGAGAGAAATGCCTGGAAATTAGGAGAGCAGGATTATCCCTTTCCTCTAGAAAAACCCTAGAAGAACCAAACCTTACCTAGCCCATCCCACAGCATTTGTTCTTTGCCCAAAACTGGCCAAGGTGATCCTTAATATTTTCCTCCTCTTGAAGCAGCCAGTACAATGGTAATAAAGCTTTCATCTTCATTAGTTGTCCTGGAAATACTGTCTGCTCAGACCAGCTGAGACCAGGATAGACACTTGCTTCTGATGTCACAGGCCTGTGTATGCCTTGGCATCCTGATCCATTCTTGCTCTTAGTCTTTACCCCATTGCAACTCTGCTTCAGCATTTATGCCACATGAGTGCTGGCAAGAACCCACCTTGGATTCAAGACTGAATATAGATTTATTACTTGCTATGGGCTTACAAGGTTTTCTTTTGTTTTGTTTTGTCTTTAGCTCCTTGTCTTAAAATTTAGGATTATAGTACCTACTATAAATTTGTCTACTATAAAATGTCGATAAATTTAGGATTGTAGTACCTATTTTAGAATGTAGTAGCTGTGGGCTTTAGGAAGTTCTGTTTCGTTGTGCCTTTAGCTCCTTGTCTTAAAATTTAGGAGTATAGTATGTACTTAAGAATGTAGTTGTGGCACATGTTTGTAACTCCAGAACTCTGGGAGGCTGAAGCAAGAGGATCACAAGTTCATGCCTAGTATGGGCAGCATAGTGTCTTAGCAAGACCTTGCCACAAAGTAAAGCATCAAACAGGGCTAGAGATGTAACTCAGACCATAGACCCAAAGTTCAGTCTTCAGTACCAGCTAACCGAGTAGATCCCTTATGCTGAGGGATCAGTCCAGGTGTCACACGGTATGGGTTTCCGCCCATCTAAAACTGGTTCCCAGTGCAGTGTCCCCTTCCATCTAGGTGACCTCACAGCTAGTCTCTGGCCCCATGGTGGTTCCTCTGCAGTAGAGCTGAAGTTACCCAGGCAGCTGAGCTGCTTGGTCTCCTCAACAGCGATTCTTCTATACCTCTTTGCACTTAAGACATGGGCCTAAGTGCTCAGGACTACTCTTAGGGAAGGATATTTGGAAAAATACAGTAAGGCTGGTCATGGCAAACCTTTTAGAGCTTTCAATGATGACAGATGCAAAATGCATGTTACAAGTTGACCCTCAGCAATCTATGCTATATAGACAGTATGCTTAAAATAGATAATATTGGGGCAAACATAGTAAAGTGACTTTTTTCTTCTGAGATCTCACCTAATAAACAATAGTTTTGAAAAATAATCTAAGGTGAACCTTTTTAATGGGTTGGAAACCTATGCCTAGCACTTTATTATAGTTAGTATTACTTTATTGGCTGCTATTTCTAGGCCAAATCAAGTATTTTTAATTGATTTCTACTTTTATGTTTATGTTATGAGGTGACCTATTAGCACAAAAGAAGTATCTTAAAGACCTGTTTATGTTTAAGTTTTTTGACTTTTATGAAATTACAGGGGAATAGTATTTTGAAACTAGTACGGATCTTACATACTTTGCATTATTTTTCCTATATAGAAGATAGCATATGCAAATCTTCAGAGATGGAGTCACTGGATTTTAAGAATTACGGTCACTAACTTAACGTTTAGTAGTGAGATTCCAATGGACCCCAATAGAGTCCCTCCAGTTTTTGGAAATGCCTCATCAGTAGTGTGCAATATCAGGAAAGAGGAATCTAAGTATAGACGGGCTCTATCCAAGAGCCATGGCCCATCTCATCTTGTCTTTTCTCTTTCCCAGCGTTGGAGTTTCCAGGTCAAAGGATGTGCCCTCATTTGGTCCCCCAATTCCCAAAGGTGTAACTTTTCCAAAGTCAGCAGTGTTTCGGGACTTCTTGTTAGCCAAAGTAATTAATGCAGAGAATGCAGCCCATAAATCAGAAAAATTTCGAGCAATGGCCACTCGAACAAGGCAAGAATACTTGAAAGACCTGGCAGAGAATTTTGTCACAACTGCCACCGTGGACACCTCTGCAAAATTCAGCTTCATCACCCTCGGGGCAAAGAAGAAGGAGAGAGTGAAACCCAGGAGAGATGCCCATCTTTTCAGCATTGGGGCCATCATGTGGCACGTGGTGGCACGGGACTTTGGCCAGTCTGCTGATATCGAATGTCTTCTTGGGATTTCCAATGAGTTCATAATGTTGATTGAAAAGGAGTCCAAGAATGTTGTATTTAACTGTTCCTGCAGAGATGTTATTGGGTGGACATCTGGATTAATGAGTATCAAAGTATTTTATGAAAGGGGAGAATGCATCCTTCTGTCCTCGATGGATAACTGTGCTGAAGACATACGGGAAATTGTGCAGCGATTGGTAGTAAGTACACATTTTGTGTTTTCAATCTCAGATACATATCAGGTTCCACCAGAGAAATCTTACCATGTTTCTGTCACTTAGAGAATGAAATGCTGTGCCTCATGGATACAGAGGTAAATTTTAAATGCTGAGTTCTTTTCAGAGTTGCTGCACTCAAAAATGATGGGGAAGCATCCACAATAAAGTGATTGAAAAAGTTAAGCCAACTTCCAAATACAAGCATTAGGACCTATGTTGATAGTATTTGAAGGAAAATTGCATGGATTCATCATTGTTTATGGTGATTGACATAGCACACCTTCCCAGTGGGTAGTTAATGGCCACAGAATGGCTATGTATACCTTAGGCTCTGTTCATATTAATACAGAAAGTATTTTTTCTTAAATATCTTAATTAGATTAGATATTTTATTAATCTTCCTGCATGCTTCTTATGGAGGTTTTAAAGAATTATCCATTAAGTTTGGGAAAACCTGAAAAATCAGAAATCAGTTTTAAAATGAGATTGCTTTGGATCTGTAAGTTATACCCCTATTTCTGCTCCTAATTTTTACAAAGTAAGATTCAGGTTTTAGCATAGTGTATATTGTAGAGTAGTAATATGAACAAATCAAGCTATTTCTAATTTTGATTGTTTTGTTTGTGTAATGTGAGAAGAAAACATGCTTTCACCGTAGAACATCTCATGTGTAAGTCTTTTCCTGAAGAGATTATATTTTTTTTTAGTTAGAAAACATCTAGTTAACTTTGAATCATGAAAAAAAGGAGAAATTATATTCATTTCTTGTCTCCTCTCTTCTCATGAAATATAATTTTTATTAAATTTATTAAAGATTTTATGTAAGAAAGAATGTCTGTTAGCTGGAGAAATAGCTCAGTCTCCACAGATACAGTTGATTGTTAACAGACTTCAGCAGGTTCAGGTAGGTACTTGTTCAGGACCAGCCATGAGTGTGGGGACAATTAGGAAAGATGTGATTAGCTCATATGCCTAAAGAATTGATTCTTGAGTTACACTTATGAGTTTCAAGCTATGCTGTGCTTTTGCTAATTGCAAACACCTCTTTTTAGCATAGCCACTGAGTTGTCATAAGCTATGCATAAACATCAAGTTATCAGCCAGCAAAATGTACCTTCCAGAAGTGTTTATACCTAGATTCTTCCACATTTGCTGCTTCATGGACCCCATCCTGCCATTTTCCTAGAAAGGTGACTAAGCTGCCTAAAATCAGGAATATGTTTTAGAGACACATTCAGTGTCTAGGATTTTTTGTATTATGAGGTACTGAGAACAAACTAACCCTGCAGACCAGTGAAGAAGGTCAAGCATCAGAGTAGAATAGCAGTCACCAGGGAGTAAAAGGGTCAGATGCCACCAGAGGAGAGGTGCTGGAGATGACTTCATGCTGCAGTTCCCTTTCTGCCAGATGATCATAGTGTCCTTTCTATGGTGATGAATATGGCATGTTGTGTGTGTCATATAGGTAGATAGTGAAAGCTTAACATCTAGATTGATGTGCCACCTTTTGAGTCATATTAGAGCCTTTTCGGAATAACCCATGCTGGGTTGCAGGCTTTGCTGTTGTCAATTTGAAATTGTGACTAGTTTTTGAACAAGGGGCCCTGCATTGGACCCATGAGTCATGTGGCCATTCCTGAATACCTGAAAGGGGGCCACTGTTCCCATGCAGTAATTGAGTCTATGTCAGTATGTGAAGACACCAGCCAGATACATGAAGAGCGTAGTTCTTCAGACTTTGGGGGTGTTGAGAGGCAAGAAACAGAGGGATAAAGAAATAAAAACTGAAGCAGGAGAGATGCTAGTGGGTGGTGGAAATTAGCAGAAGAGACAGTGCCTCTTGGACTGGAAAAACCTGGCTGATTCTCCCAAGTTTAATATACAAATGTTAAATTTTAGTTGACATTTTATTTTAGATGTCTTTTGATAAGGTTGCTTAGAGTGTAGTTGAAGAAGTAGTGAAGGAAAAATGTACCAGATTGTACATACTTCAAAAGTACTTCTTCAAGTTTTAAAGGAACTCATTTTATGGATTTGAAAACTTTAGTGTTTCAAAATTTCACCCCTGACAAACACTGGCAAATTCCTTTTCCCTTTTTGCTGAGCCCTGAATGTCATGCTTTTCTGGGAGAAGTTGATGGGCAGTGTGTGCACTTCTAGTTTCCATGGAAACAGACACAGTGCTGATACATAGGACTAGCCCCAGTCCCACAGCTATACTTGCAGTCAGAGGTCTCATTAAATAGGTATCTGTGTATTCAGAGTGTGTTTCATGGAAATGAACATTTATTAAACTGAAACTTCATACATTGCCTCTGGGCTTTTGGGGGATAGGATATGATACCTCCCAACTTGAAATTTCCCACAAAAAATGATGTCATAGTCATCAAATGATGTTTAATGAGCCTGTGTTTTCCTTTCATTGCATGGTAAGTTACGCTCAGTAAGCACTTTTGTGGGTTGCAGGAACTAATTACTAGTGCTTAGTGTGCCGAGTGGGGTGAAACCACCTCCTTTCTTTCATGTCCCTTTTTGTGGGACTGCAGAGACTCCCACTCTGGAAGGAACATGCTCTGGAACTGCCACTGCCTGGGTTTTCCAGGGAGATGAGAGATGACCCACAGGCACACATGGGCCCTCTGCTGCCCACAGGAATACCATCCCACACATGTCCCTATTAACAGGTGGGCCCAGGAACCTGGCTGGGGAACCCCTGTTGATCTGAAGTGTCCTTATCACCAGCTATGCAGAAGAGGGACCCTGGGGGAGAGATAAATGATCTCTGACTTCTGCTGTGGCCCTGCATGAGCTTAGAAGTGCCATGGGCCACATGTTTATGGATGCCTACAAACCAAGTCCAGTAACATATAAAGGGAACCAAGGGCATTGTCAGAGTCCACATTACATGTAAGCTCTAGGCCATTAACTCTGCAACAGAAGACAGTATTTCCCTGAAAAAAGGAATGGCAACTGTACTGATGCTTTTATACTTTCTTTGTGCCTGTTACCAGGGTTGCTTATAGTGAACTTGGGAGTTTCAGCATCCATGTCTTATGACTTGGACAGTATGCAGGAAGGGCAAAGCCGTGTGATACTCTCTAAACTAGGAGGGCTAAGGGACAGAGATACCTGCACACACTGAAATGGGCAGAGCATCTCTGACCATCTCCCTTTCCCCAGATAGTGACTAGAGGCTGTGAGACTGTGGAGATGACCCTGAGGAGGAACGGGCTGGGCCAGCTTGGCTTCCACGTGAACTTTGAAGGCATTGTTGCAGATGTGGAGCCCTTTGGCTTTGCCTGGAAGGCTGGCCTCCGGCAAGGCAGTCGACTTGTGGAGATCTGCAAAGTGGCTGTGGCCACACTGACCCATGAGCAGATGATTGACCTACTCCGGACTTCCGTGACTGTGAAGGTGGTCATCATCCAGCCCCATGATGATGGCGCTCCCCGGAGGTAAGTGCTCAAGCCTGGGCAGTGCTCACCCTCCTGTTCTGCAAGGTCCTCAGAAAAGAGTGGTGAGGCTTACATAGACTGCATGTAGGAGCCATGCAAAGAAGGCTTCAGAAAGATGGATGTGTGACAAGTGACAAATTTTAACTAAGCAATTTGACAGGACTCTGACTAACTTGAAGAAGTTGACTTAAGAACCTAAGGGGAGAGGACCTGGCTGATACCCTTGACTCGGTGATATGAAGTCTGGAAAAAATAGTCATTATCTAGAATGGCCTTTAGCTAATAGCATCCACACAGCCAGGCTGCCTTCTGTCACGTGAAGTCACTGGTGACTAACAGGACACTTCAAGATCAGTGCTATGTGTCTGAAGGAAGGTGGGATACTGAGTGTCCTCTGTGGCCACCCACCATCCTACACATGATGCTTTAGAGGCCTTTGCTCAAGCATCGTTGTAACCTGTGGAGAGAAGCAGAAAAGATACGGCTGAACTAGAGAGCTCAAAGTGTGCAGGTAGAGGGAGGGAATGAGGGGCATGGTGGGAAAACAGTTCTGTTGTTAACAGAAAATACTCATGCTCAACACCGAGAATCGCATAAAGGACTCCAAAGTGAAAGGAAGCCAGTAGATAACATGCCATTCTGTAGGCTGGCTAGAGTCCACACTGCAGGACAGGGTTTGGTGGTGGCGTCCCATGTCTGGTGGTTCGTGCAGACAACTCCACAACTCTGGCTAAGGAGAAAGGGAGGACGCCTGGCACCCAGGCTTTTTCTGCATAGTCTCAGAGCCTCCTCCATAGTACTCTGGAGTCATACCCTGTGTGCAGTGCACTGCATATGATTTTATGAAAGTTGAAGGTCAAATAAAATAATCTCTTAAAGCATTTAGAACCTTAGCATAATCATGAATACCCCACATTATGATTTAGAGAAAAATCTTTTAGGGTGTTTATTTTCATTTCCTTCATGTTCGAAAAACTTATTCAAAAACGTCAGGATTACTGGGCCCACTTTGACAGCTCCTACCTGAGCCATTCTTTCTCTTTTCTCTGTCTCATTCTTCAACCTTCAAACTGGTACTGTCCAGTGTCACATTCTGTTCATGAGCCACATGGTTGACACACGTGATGAAATGTGGCTGGTGTGTTTTCCACTTTAATTAATTTAGACCAAATGAGCTGCATGTAGAGAGAGAGATTAACTTTAACCTGTGATCTTTTAGATAATACATTGATCCTATACCATCTTACTATGTGAATAATGGCAGTTTTACAGAAGTCTGTTTCTGTGAATCTTAACCACTTGCTTTTACCCTGATTTTCTGTGGCTGTGCTTTAAGTGTTTAACCAATATGTTGCTAATATAGTGAACTGATACTCATCTAGTATCATCTTCATGTGATGTGAAATCCCTAAGATGTTTCTCAACACCCTGGTCTGATTCTTCCTGTTAAATCTGTCCAAGGATCCATGAATCACATTTAGCAGTATAAGTAAAATACAGATTTAAAAAAACTATTTTATTAAAAATGAGACTTGGAAATAACAAAAATTATTTTAGGACTTTTAGGCTAAAATATTATGAGAATCTTGCACAATTAAATTTCAGTTATTAGAAATTTTTTATTATAGTAAGATTGATCTTCCTTTGTAGAAATGTATGTTTATGACTCCTTTGTGTGTGTGTGTGTGTGTGTGTGTGTGTGTGTGTGTGTGTTTGTGTTTCTGACTCTTAAGGTGAAGAGCAAATCTTTTGTCTGTTAGAGCATGATCAAAAATGCAGTAATATTTAATTTTTGAATAAATTTCTTAAGTAAGAGACAATTGCTATTAATCCTCCTCAAAAATCTACACCCCCACCCTTGGCGGTACTGGCTCTCAGCGTGATTATCCCACCCTTCTTAACACTTTCTAACACAGTTCTGGAAGTCCTCTTAGTTGCATTGTCAAGACTACTTTGATGTCCTGAATCAGTTCAAAATGTTTTCTTTTCATGATTGTTTGTTTCTTTGAAAAAAAATCAAAAGTTGAATAGTGCCAATCTGGTGAATAAGGTAGATAAGGATACCACTTAATATTTTTGTTTGACAGAAGTTGTTATAATCATTTGAAATCAATTTATAGTATCAAGGCATCCAGAAAAGAGGACTTCAAAACCACTTCAAAAGTACCAAGAACAATGAAATAAGTGTGTAAGAAATGTGTGGGGGTGAGGAGTATTTGCGGAAGATTAATTGCAGTGTGTCTTTTACTGTAATGATGTTTTTTATTTAAACATTCATCGTGTTTTGTGATCATGTCTCATACTATGGAATTGAGCAAAAATGTTACATGTTCTGAGGGTTAAAAATAGCAATTCGTGTCTGTTTTTTAGATTTATTGTTAGTAAGAAATTTTTTAAGTTTTCAAGAGATCTAGTTAATAGAAAGTATAGTTATTCATTTTGGTATTTAGAATATATAATATAGAAAAATATAATTTCCTAAGAAGTACTGAATTGTTTTTCAGCTAAAACAAATAAAAACTACAATTTAAAAGTTCTAGCTGTTATCTTTTTACCTAAGAATATGTTGTTGTTTGGTTTAGTTTTTTAAGAGAACCACTTGTTTCACTAGATCTTCCCACAATTAATTCTTTCTTTTAAATGCAAATTCCCATACTGAAAATAGCCAAGATGTGTATTTAGAGATTTTCTTTTGTTTGTTAAAAATCTCATGAATGTCATTGCCTGAGTATAATGGGTTTCTTCCTTTTGATTAATCGGAAACAACCATCTTTTGTATTTTGTTCTTATGTAGAAGGATTGGAATTAGCTGTTTTCCTAGTGGAAACACTCCAGGAATGGCATGCCTGTGACTCACATTTCTGCAAGTTAGACAGGTTTTAAGCCTACCATGTATCATTTAAAACTCTTTTCAGTTCACCTTTCCAATTTTCTGTGAATCTGAATTTGCCAATTTTTACAATTCATATTTTTTGTCAGTTTGGAGCTCATTTTCTGCCAGTAACTGTGTGGGGGCCCTGATAAACTGTGCTTACAGTGGTTACAGTGTCCTCCGGCAGCCAGCATCCCCAGCAGGCCTGCCCTTTGTGGTAGGTTGTGGTGTATGAATGCAGGGCAGTTTCCAGTTCTCCTACTTTGACCCTACAGCTGTCTGCATGGTTATAACTCCTTAAGAAATTCTCTGGTAGGGCCTGAAAAGGGACCTGGATACTCATTTTAACATTAAGAAATCTTTTTTTTAAAGGAAACATTTTTCAGTTCCATTATCCATGTAACCCTCCCACCGGAAAAAAAAGAAAGAAAGAAAACAAGAAATGAAAGACTCGCCTCAAGCCACAACTGCACATTTGATTTGTGGTGTGGAAAATTACCTCCATCTTCTTTCATAAATTGGCCCTTAGTGTTTGTCAGGGGAATAATTTATTGAAATGGCAAGTTTGTGTGTGTGTGCGTGTGTACACACACGTGCATTTTTTTCTGTAACACCTATCCTTAATGTAAGGCCACAGGACCAGAAATTAATTAGCTGAAAGGTATTTTAATCTTTATAAAAATTGTAAAAAAAAAAAAAAAAAAAAAAAAAAGAGCTTCAGTTCATTTTTACCGTTTACCAGCTCCATATTGGCCTTCCAGGGTATCAGTAAGGAGATAATTTGACCCCAAGCCCAGCTGCCCCGTGAGAGGCCTGTCATTTAATAGCTGGCTTCTGGCCTTTCACAGGTCAGAGATGTCTGGTTATGACTTGGAAGCTGCTGCATTAAATAAAGTCTTTCCTGGGGCAAGTGTTTGAGTCAAAAGCCACCTGTATTTTGAAGTCCCTCTCTCCGGCCCAGGTTTGAGGATAGTGCAGCTGTCCCAGCTTGAAAGGAAGGTAGAGCCATTTTTAGCTTTTCTGGTGTGGAGTTCCAGAGGACACCAAGCAGGGAGGACCCTCGGGAATGCTTATTAAGGGATGGCCTGCTGGAGGTTAGATCCTGCAGTAAATGCGTGTACATTGGGAGTGAGTGGCTAGGAGCAACTTGGGAAATAGTCCTCTTCAGATGGAAATGAAGTTCTAAAGGAAGCAACCCAGCTGCCAGCTGTCTGGCAGACATGAAGATCTGCCATGGCTCAAGATGCTTAATTAAGGTTTTTCTTGCTTTTGCAAGGAATGGTTCACAGCCACTGGTATAGAAAAACCTCTGCTCTCAGAGGTGACTAGAATTATGTCCTTGTCATTTTAAGGGAAGTACTTCATTAAAAGACTGATATATAAAAGAAATAACACCTCATCAGAATTATGCAAAGAGTTGTTACACCATGTGAGTGAATTTACTAAATATGTCCAATAAAAACAAATGAAATTCCTTGCTGTGGTGCATCTGTCTTATGTGATTTTCTGTACTTTGTTGACATATTTTTCAAGATATATTTTTTATATAATGCTAGGCAGTGAAAATTTTATTAATGCTATCATAAATAAATTATTATTCACTTATAATTCTATAAAATTAGAATTTTAAGTTCTTCTGTTCTTTTTTGCTACCTGGTACCTACTCACTAAAGAATAGGAATAAAAGGCAGAGAATGGAACTGAGAAGGAAACATACTTTTGTCTGTTTGTCTGAGAAGGAAACATACTTTTGTCTGTTTAGCACTTTGTGTGTATGTGTATGTGCACATACGTCTGTAACACAGCAGTGAGTTGAAAACTAGACTTGAGAAGTTTTAGATTACAGTTCCAATTATTTGTATAGATAATAAAAGTTACATCATCACTAGTGTTGTCTCCTGGAGCCTCCAGTAATGAATTTTAATGGGAAATGTGAAAACAACACTTAACTCCAGGCTATGAAGGCACCTGCCCTACACTCACTATTCTGAGTTCTCTGTCCAGTTCCTCCAGTGGTGCTCTAATTATGATCTTCCTCTGTAAAGTAAGAACATGGATTGCAGAATCTAAGGTGGAATGCAGTTGGTTCCCTCATTTATTTACTGTTTTGTTTCAGAACCTGTGGTGG